CACGACACCTCCACAGCCCCACGGGATACACCACGGCCACTGGGACTGTCATTATCAACAGCAGTCGCAGCCGTCATGGTATACCCGCAGGCACAGCACAGCACAACGGCCAACACACACATCACACGGCGCATCATCATCATCATGAGAGAGACAATAATTTGGTTTGCGTAGAAACATTGGTGTAGAAAGAAAGAGAATCAAAAAACAAAAAAAGAAAATAAATAAAGTATCAAACCTGTTAGGACACACAAATCGATTACCACAAAAGGAACTCACATCGTAAAAGCAAAACCTACCAGTGAAAGAATGCAATACAGCGCAATAAAATCATTAACAATGAAAACAAAAAAAGTGTAAACAATAGAGAGTACAATAAATGGGCATCACACAAACAAGACCCAGCAAAACCATAAAAAGAAAAGAAAATTAAACAAATGATACCAACTTACCCAGTAAACACAGAAATATACACCAACTATGGGTGTAAGTCTATATATATGTATAAAAGCAATTATAAATATTAATTCATTTGTTATTGTTATTTCCTTTTTCTCACTACAAAAAGCAGTTCACCATCATCACAGTGCAAGCCCAGGTGAACACACACACACACAATGGAGTAGCAAAAATAATTATAGTATAAACACAGAGAGCAAAAACACACAAAACACATTAACATTAAGAAACAAAAAGAAGATAATTTCAACAGGTGGAAGATTAGTTGGACTGTAGGGATGTATGCAAAGAAAAGAAGAAAACAAAGAATGACCTGAGTCATACCACCACAATTAGCACACAAGAATACAGGCCAGTGTAACCACAATCAGTAGTGGTACACGCACCCACACAGAACTGATACTGCTGTTGTCTGTATCACCCTTTAAATTTGGTTTCTTCTCGTTCTGTGTAGTATGAATTTCTTCTGTGTCAGAACCACTTGTACAAGGTCCAGTAGAAGAATGGGATTGTGGTTCATTTCACTTCCCTATTTCTAACTTTCCCCATTTACCTTTGCAACTTTTCATTTTATCATTATCTCCTTTAGAAGTACTGTTATCTTGTCTGTCCTTCTTCAGCCACATTCTGAAGACACAGTTTGGTAATTCTATTTGTTGCTTCTTTACGAGGTGATGCAAGCCGAACTACAAATTAACAAGGTTTGGCAGAATACGAACAATTCTCGGAATAAAAAAGTTGTAACTAAGAAAATTCTTTTTTATTCAATTGGATCTTTCGTGATCACCCAATCTTTATTACATTATTTATTAGTTTATTCTCGGTCAGTTTTCACCCTTTGTGGAACTTCAGTAGTCTCCATTAAATTTTATCATACATGTTTCTCTTTTCTGCCTTACACCAGTAGTACACATAGATCATCTTTGCTTAGAACACCACCCTTTATCATACTTTGTTGTTTGCACTTCTTGCCGCTAAGCCTTTTTTTTTTTCTTTTTTCTTTTTTTTACCTAACACACCACGACGACTACCACCGCAATTTGCAAAAAGGGAATTTGAACAAAAGGACACAGAGGAGAAAGAGGATGATTAAGCGCTGGAGGACGAGGAGAGACTTCTTTGGCTGCAGGGAGAAGGGGATGGATGGGACTGACAACGGGGGTGTCTAAGGGCAGCGGCACCGACAACACCAACAACAGGGACAAGGACAACAAGATTGAGGAGGCTCATCTTCATTTATTGTATGCTCTGTAGATACCGCCTCCTCTTCAACAACATCATCAGTAGTAGTAGTAGTCTCTTCATCATCATCATCATCAGTAGACTCTCTAGCAGCAACCACAGTCATAGGTGCAATGCTCTGTAGTAAAGCCAGCAAAAGCAGCAAACGCCACGGTGACATCATGGAAAGAATTATTTATTTTGTCTTTGGTATTTGAACTGAACAGTAAAGCAGAGAGCAAAGGCAAAAAGTCAATATAATAGACACACACATATATACACATCCAAAACACAATGCCATAACAATCACTCAAATAGCATCCAATTAAAACAAAAAAAAAAAACACAATTCCCAGTATTAAATAGAAAATCACAATTAATTCTGAAAGAAGGATATATAATAAATTAAAAATGGCGACCAACAAGAGCAGGAAACACAAAAATATATAGCTCTTGATTGGGTGAACAGCATATATAGCAAAGGATGAAATTATGTGTAACAGTTATTATTTCTTCCCTCTGCAAAAAGCAGAATACCAAAACAGTACAGGTCAAAGCACACAACGACCCAGCAAAATCATCAAAAACAAAAAAGGTTTTTAACAATAAGCCCAATTTACCCAGTAAACACTGAAATATATACCAACTATGGGCACAAGTCTATATATGTGTGTATATACGGAATTATAAATATATATTCATCTGTTATTATTATTTCTTTTGTCCCATTGCAAAAAGCATTTCATCACCATCATCACAGTACAAGCCCAGGTGGACACAGAGAGTCTCCAAGAACACACAATGGAGTAGCAATAATAATTATAGGATATATATAGAGCAAAAACACACAAAACACATTAACAATATGAAGCACAAAAAGAAGATAATTTCAACAGGTGAAAAGATTAGTTAGACTGTAGGGATGCATCCAGAAAAGAAAACAAAGGATGACCTGAGTCACATCACCATCACCACAATAATTAGCACACAAGAATACAGGCCAGTGTAACCACAATCAGTAGTGGCACACGCATCCACACAGAACTCATACTGCTGCTGCTGCTGTCTGCATCACCCTTTAAATTTGGCATTATGTTGTTAGTGCTGATTTCAGGGACAGTAGGAATTGAATTGGTGGTGTTGGTGTTGGTGTCTGTATTTCTCGAGTCACCTTGGCTGCTTGATGAATTACCCTCTGAAGATGTAATTTCATTCCCAGCTTTTTCAGTTTCAGGTCCTTTTGACTCCTCATTGTTCTGTGAAGGTGTAACAGAAGTTTCAGCAGATGTTGAAGGGGAAGATTCTGTGCCTGAACTTTCCCGGTTAGAATTATTTTCCGCCGTTGCATTGCTGGGCTCACTCTGTTTGGAGTCTTCTGGAGTAGCACCTCCAGTTCCAACCACACCTTTTCCAGGCTGTAGGGGATGAGTAATAGGAGGTGCAGCAGTACCATTCCTAGCTGTAGGAGGATTAGTTCCCTCATGTTTCCGAAGACATTCCATAAGCTCTTGATAAGTACCACCAGCACAAGCACTAGCAACAGGATCAACAACAACACTTCCTGGTTGTGGCAGTGGTAATCGTGATGGTGTTAGTAATGGTGGTGAAGGAACAGGACCGGTACCAAGAGGAGGTACAAGACCAGAAACACCAGGTTGACCAACAGTATGAGGATTGGTTTCCTGTTCTAACCCAGTAGCCCCAAGAGCAGTAGGTTGAGAAGACTGAAGAAACTGACCAAGTGAAGCTGCTGCTGCTGCCCCAGGAACAAGAGCAGTAGGCTGAGAAGGCAGAGAAGGCTGGGGAGACTGACTAGTAGTCCCTTCAACCACCGCAGAAACACATGCCACACTTAGCAGAAAAGTCAAAAGACAAAACACACGGCGCGTCATCATCGTGGTCATCGTCACTCTTCTTCTTCTTGTTCTCGTCACTTGAGTTCACAGGTCTATGCAGAGAGTGTGGAAAAGAGAAACAAGAAGGAAGAGACAAAGAAAGATACATACATAGTGAGTGGATACAGGACATGAATAGTAAACCACAAAGAAACTCACATCACGAAAAGAAAAAGCCACCAGTGAAAGAACGCAATACAGCGCAATAACCTTAGTAAGAGTAAAAACAAAAAGAAGCCCACACTCACAAATATCTCAAAAAAGGCTGAACCACCCAGCAAAATCACCAAGCAAAAAAACAGATATTAACCATTCGCCCAATTTACCCAGTAAACACAAAGAAATACACCAACTATGGGTACAAGTATATATATGTATATATAAGCAATTATAAATATAAATTCATTTGTTACTATTATTTCTTTTTTCTCACTGTAAAAAGGAATTCATTATCACAGTGCAAGCCCAGGTGCACACAGAGAGTCTCCAATAACACACACACACAATGGAGTAGCAATAATAATAATAATTATAGGATAAACATAGAGAGTAAAAACACACAAAACACATTAACATTAAGAAACACAAAAGAAAGAAAAGAAATCCCAACAGGTGGAAGATGAGTTAGACTGTATGGATGCATGCAAGAAAAGAAAACAAAGGATGACCTGAGTCACACCACACCACCATTACAATCAGCAAACAAGAATACAGGCCAGTGTAACCACAATCAATAGGGGCACACGCACCCACACAGAACTGCAGATACTGCTGCTGTCTGCATCACCCTTTTTGCTGTTTGAAAGCTCAGGAGGAAGTGTTGTGGTTGTGGTAGTAGTGGTGGTGGTGGTTGATTCCTCACTGGTTGATTCACCCTCAGAAGGAGTTGCAACATTAGGGTCACTTTCAGCCTGATTATTATGCGCTTCATCTGTGGATGTATTGCTGGAAGAAGTATCACCTGTACGTTGATTTATGGAAGCAGAAGAGTCTTGTCCATCATTACTTTCTGGGCCTGTTGTGTGCGTGTTCTGTGTGTTGTCACCTTGTTCTGTGTCTCCCTGATCACTGCTACCCTGTGAGCGATCACCACTTGTTATCTGCTGAGACACTGATTCATCACCTTTGGTGGTTCCTTCAGGACGTGATGAAGTAGGAAGAACTGCTGAAGAAGGAGAATCATGAGAACGTGAAGTTGGATCAGGATCAGTAGTTGGTGGCTGATGGCTCTGACTTCGTCCAGCGTGATTATCCCTCTCAGTCAACACTCTCTCTTCTTGATGGCTTTCAACAGGTCCTTTTTCGACCCTTTGCTCCTGTGGATCCACCCTAGGCCCTTTCACATCTACATCTGGGCCCTTCGGATCCGGCTTACCTCTTTTACCAGGATGACCTCCCACAGGGTCCCTGCTATCATGTGCAGGATCACTATCGTCTGTGTGTTCCGATCCCTCTCTTGCCGGCGAGACACGACTACGATCTGGTTGTAGTGTTGCTGGTTGTGAGACGGAAGTACAAGCACCAGTACTACCCGTGGAACCAGTTTCAGGAACACCACCATTGGGGCACGGAGAACCAGGAGCTTCACCAGCAGCAGCAACAGGACCACCAGGAGGGCACCCAGTAGTAACACCATCAGCAGTGCACTGGGCGACAGGAGTACCTTGGAGAAGAATCTTTGTCTCACTCTCCGTATCAGGGACTTGGTCGGAAAGATCGGCGGTAGGCACTTCTTCAGCGAGGACGTGCACACACGCACATGAGAGCAGGAGAGCGAGGATACACAGCACGTGGCGCATCATCATTACCATTAAAATACTTCTTGTAGTAGTCTTACTTCAATCGCTTACAGAAAAAAAAAGACCAGATAGAAAAACAGAAAGAAAGTGAATCAATGTACACAAGAAAATAAGAATACACAACAAATCAAACATCAGATAACAATTAAAGCAGAAGCACCCACATAACAGAAAACTACAACCATAACTCAGATAGTACCCAAATTAAAGTAAAAAAGCACACAGTACCCAATAACAAACAGATAATCCCAATTAACCCCTCAAAATAAAAAAAAAAAGAAATTAAACAAAACGACCATCAGAAGTAGACAGCACAGAAATACATAACAGTGTCTCTTCTGGTCAAACCAAGCACAATTACAAATATACTTATGTATTCCTTATTATTTTTTCTCCCTACACAAAACACTCCAACACACAACAATGCAGGAGAAAGCACACAGCGCCCAAACAAAGAAAATGAAAAAAAAAAAAAACACAAATTGAGAGACGCATCAATCGCACAAAAATAACTCACAGTCCACTGAGTATGCTGGTCTGTTCTAGCACTTAAAAATACCAATTGTATTTATTACTATTATTTTCTTTGCTCTGCATAAAGGAGATTACCAAAAACCGTGCAGGGCAAAACACACAATACCCAAGCACACCAAAGAAAAAAAAAAAAAAGAAATTAAACATTAGCCCATTTTACCCAATAAACACAGAAATATACACCAACTATGGGTATAACTCTATATGTGTATAGAAGCAATTATAAATATAAATTCATCTGTTATTATTATTTCTTTTTTCTTCCCACTACAAAAAAGCAGTTCATCATCATTATCACAGTGCAAGCCCAGGCACACACAGAGAGGGTCTCCAAGAACACACACACACACAATGGAGTAGCAATAATAATAATTATAGGATAAACACAGAGAGCAAAAACAAACACAAAACACATTAACAATAAAAAGAAGAAAATCCCAACAGGTGGAAGATTAGTTAGACTGTAGGAATGTATGCAAAAAAAAAAAAAAAAAAGGATGACCTGAGTCACACCACCATCACCACAATAATTAGCACACAAGAATACAGGCCAGTGTAACCACAATCAGTAGTGGTACACGCACCCACAGAGGACTGACACTGTTGTCTGCGTTAGCATTCTTCTGTACTGCGGAGGCAATGCTGCTGATCCGTGGGTCGGTTGTAGGTACAGGAGGAAGTGTTGTTGTGGTGGTTGTAGTTGATTCTTCATTACTGGTTGTATTTTCCTCATCATTTGTCACGTTTGTCACCACACTCTCTGCAGCATTAGATTCATTGGAAGTCTCCGTGAGAGGATTGTTGGAAGAAGTTTCAGGTGCACTCGGAGGTGCCGGAGCAGCTTCAGTACGTAATTGTCCAGATGTATCTTTTGTGTCTGCGGCTGTAGTCTCTTCATTTTGTACAACATGAGTACTTTCAGCTTCCTGCACTTGTTCGGGTGATTTCTCTCGTTGTTCAGTTATATCGCCCCCGTTTTTCGATGTATCATTGGGTTTTGTCGGCTGATCTTCCCGTGCAGCAGCATCATGAACAGCAGAAGGAGCTCCAACAGTTGTTTCAGCTTCTTCTTGACCATGTGCAGCAGCAGCACCACGAGCAGCATCAGCAGACAATGCACCTTGCACAGGAACACCAGGACGTGCGTCAGGAGATGGTTCAGCAATCACTTTTTGCGAATTAACTTCATGTAATTGGCCAGGTACACTAGGTACTTGTGATGAAGCTGAAGGTAAACCTGACGACGAAGCCGTTGCTTCTGCTTGAACTGCTGGAGGTTTTTTACAATCGACACCATGAGGATCCTTTTCACATTCTGCAACTTTCGACTTTTTCTGTAACTCTTTTTCGGCATTTTTAACGTCTTCGACACTCGCGTCCGACGGTAAGCCAAGCACAAAACGCGAAACAACTGCGACTTCCGGGGTACCGATCTCAGCCATCACTGCCTTTGGCTGTCCAGCAGTAGTAGCAGCAGCAGCCATGGTATACCCGCAGGCACAGCACAGCAGAACGGCCAACACACACATCACACGGCGCATCATCATCATTGCTCTTCTTCTTGTTGTTCTCGTCACTTGAGTTCACAGATCTTTGCAATGGGTGTGGAAAAGAAGGAAAAAAAGAGAGAGAGAGAGAGAGAAAGAGAGTGGATACAGGACACAAATACTCACAGTGAGAGAGAGAAAAAGAGAAGCAGCTGCAACAGCAGAGTACAGTAGTATAAAAGGAATAGTCCCTTTACAAGATGATGCAGACCTCAAAAACAGTATATACAGAAAAAAAAAGTACACAAATCCAAAACAAAAGGGTCAAATACCAAAACTCCAAGTGTATATTGTTGTACAACAGTCTGGGTTNAGACTGTAGGGATGCATGCAAAAAAGAAAACAAAGGATGACCTGAGTCACACCACCATCACCACTACAATTAGCACACAAGAATACAGGCCAGTGCTACCACAATCAGTAGTGGCACACGCATCCACACAGAACTCATACTGCTGCTGTCTGCATCAACCATTAAATTTGGTATTTTGTTCCCTGCAGGTACAGGAGGAATTGAATTGGTGGTGTTGGTGTTGGTGTCTGCATTTCTCAAATCACCTTGGCTGCTTGATGAATTACCCTCTGAAGATGTACTTTCATTCCTAGCATTTTCAGTTTCAGGTTCTTTTGACTCCCCATTGTTCTGTGAAGGTGTGGCAGGAGTTTCAGCAGATGTTGAAGAAGAGGATTCTGTGCCTGAACTTTCCCGGTTAGATGTATTTTCCGCCGTTGCATTGCTGGGCTCACTCTGTTCGGGATCTTGTGAAGTACCATCTCCAGTTCCAACCACACCATTTCCAGGCTTTAGGGGATGAGAAACAGGAGGTGCGGCAGTACCATTCCCAGCTGCAGAAGGATTAGTTCCCTCATGTTTATGAAGACATTTCAAAAGCTCTTCAAAAGAACCACCATTAGCACAAGCATCATCACCACCACTTCCTGGTAGTGGCAGTGGTAATTGTGGTGGTAATGGTTGAAAAGGTACGCCAGAAGGAGGTGCAGAAACAGTACCAGGAGACTGAGGATGCAAAGGAAGAGCACCAGTACCAGGAGGCTGAAGAGACTGAGAAGACTGACCAAGTGAAGGTGCTGCTGGTGCCCCAGGAATAGTAGTCTGGGAAGTCTGAGAAAGCTGAGCTGTAGTCCCTTCAACCACCGCAGAAACACATGCCACACTTAGCAGCAAAGTCAAAAGACAAAACACACGGCGCAACATCATAGAAAGATATCCTTTTGTTGTTTTGGGAATATTGACTGGAAAACAAAGCATAAAAACAAAAAAAAAACAAAAAAATATATATTCAATACAATAGACACATATACAGACATACCAAAGGGGGAGAATAGCACAAGAGAATTATTCACAGAACAACAACACCACCAACACAAACAATAAAGAATCCAATAAAGGGGCACCACAGACAATACACAACTAAAACAAGAAAAAAAATTTTTTTTGAGCAGCACAAAGCATCATCAAACACACAATCACCACTGAAATCCTGGTATACATAAATTAATAAGCAATTATGAATACAAATGTGTATCAGTTATCTTTTTTTTTCCTTTTCTGCAGAAAACAGATCACAATAACAATAAAGAGCAAAGGACACAACGACCCAGCAAACCACAAGCAAAGAAACAGATATTAACCCTTAGCCCAACTTACCAAGTAAACACAAAGAAATACACCAACTATGGGTGTAAGTCTTTATATGTGTATATAGGCAATTATAAATATAAATTCATCTGTGATTATTATTTCTTTTTTCTCACTTCAAAAAACAGTTCATCATTATTATCACAGTGCAAGCCCAGACAGCCACACAGAGAGTCTCCAAGAACACACACACACAATGAAGTAGCGAAAATAATAATTATAGGATAAACACAGAGAGCAAAAACACACAAAACACAATAACATTAAGAAACAAAAAAAGAAAAGAATCCCAACAGGTGGAAGATTAGTTAGACTGTAAGGATACATCCAAAAAAGAAAACAAAGGATGACCTGAGTCACACCACCACCACCACCACAATAATTAGCACACAAGAATACAGGCCAGAGTAACCATAATTAGTAGTGGTACACGCACCCACACAGAACTGCTCATACTGCTGCTGCTGTCTGCATCACCCTTCTTGTTGTTTGTGAGTTCAGGAGGAAGTGTAGTTGTTGTTGTTGTGGTGGTAGTGGTTGACTTCTCATTATTATTGGGTGTGTTGACAGTGTCAGAGTTTATGGTTTCTGAGTTATTGGTATCAACTGTATCATTGTTTGGTTGAGAATCCTTTGTGTCAGTTGTCAGTTCTTGGCTCCTGCTGTTTTCTTGAGTGTCTGTATTACCTGTACTGGGTCCTGCAGAAGAATTGGGTTGTGCTCCAGTTTGATTTCCCTGTGGTCCTTCTGCTCCTGAATTGTTCTGTTCACCTTCACGTTGAACGGTTTCACTGATTGGAGTACTTTCAGGTTGTGCCGGTGTCTGAGCATGCGTACTCTGTTCAGTCACGGGTTCTCTGCCTTTTGTCGCCTTTGCACCATTTTCTCCAGAAGGATCTGGCAATGAAGGTTCAACAGCAGCACCAGCAGGACCTCGAGGAGAAGCAGGAGTTGAAGGAGGAGCGGGAGATACTTCGCACGGTTTCTTCTTTGCCTCTTCAGTAGATGCTGTCTCACATTGTATTCTTTCACTCTCCGTATCAGGGACTTGGTCGGAAAGATCGGCGGCAGGCACTTCTTCAGCGAGGACGTGCACACACGCACAGGAGAGCAGGAGAGCGAGGATACACAACACGTAGCGCATCATCATTACCATTACAATACTTCTTGTAGTAGTCTTACTTCAATCATTTACACACAAGAAAACAAAACCAGATAGAAAAACAAAAAAAAAGTGAATCAATGAGAACAAGAAAATGAAAACACACACCAAATCAAACAACAATCAATAATTACAGCAGAAGCACCCACATAACAGAAAACTACAACCATAAATCAGATATTGGCCCAAATAAAAGGAACAACGCATACAATACCCAGTAACAAACACATAATCCCAATTAACCCCTCAAAAGAAAAAAAAAGATATTAAACAAAACGACCATCAGAATCATAAAGCACAGAAATACATCAAAATGCCTCTTCTGTTCAAACCAAGCACAATTACAAATATATATATATATGTATCCCTTATTATTTTTTCTCCCTACACAAAACACTCCAACACACAACAATGCAGGAAAAAGCACACAGCGCCCAAGAAAAAAAAATGAAAAAAAAAAAACACAAATTGAGAGACGCATCAACCGCACAAAAATAACTCACAGACAACTGGGTATGCTGGTCTGTTCAAGCACTTAAAAATACCAATTGTATTTATTACTATTATTTTCTTTGCTCTGCATAAAGCAGAACACCAAAAACCGTGCAGGGCAAAACACACAGTACCCAAGCACACTAAAGAAAAAAAAAAGAAAGAATCATGTTTTTAGCATTAGCCCATCTTACCCAGTAAACATAGAAATATACACCAACTATGGGTGTAAGTCTATATATGTCTATATACGCAATTATAAATATAAATTCATCTGTTATTATTATTTCCTTTTCTTTTCACTTTGCAAAAAGCAGTTCATCATCATTATCACAGTGCAAGCCCAGGTGCACACGCACGCAGAGAGTCTCCAATAACACACACACACAATGGAGTAGCAATAATAATTATTATAGGATAAACGCAGATAGCGAAAAACACACAAAACACAATAAAATTAAGAAACAAAAAAACAGTAGAAAGAATCCCAACAGGTGGAAGATTAGTTAGACTGTAGGGATGCATGCAAAAAAGAAAACAAAGGATGACCTNAAATACCAAAACTCCAAGTGTATATTGTTGTACAACAGTCTGGGTTCATTAATCACAGGTATAAACGTATATTTGTGATACATACGATATATACGTGGTCAGTGAGCAGAAGAACACACAGGGCCTCTGCACATGACCAAAAACAAGAAATTTAATGAGAGAAAGGTAATAAAAAAAAAAAGAGGAAGTTCAATATAATTAAAAATAAACCTCCAAGTATATAGCGAATTACTTTACTTGACTACGGAAGTAGCAATAATATATATATGGTGAAATTATTATTATTAAGTGCTTCCGTCAATCAAACGAATCCCCTCAGTACACCGTTTTACAATACCAACGCAACCACAATCAGCAGAGGTGCGGCAGTGCGCATCCACACAGGGCTGAAACTGCTGTCAGCATCGCCCGGCTTCTGCTCGTTGCTTGGTGCATTAGTGGATGTGGGTTCTTGTGTTACTGGTTTGTCATCCTCAGGTTTCTGGCTGGGGTTTTGTTCAGGTTTCACATCATCTCCAGGTTGATCGGGATTTGTGTCAGGAGATTCCCCATCAGGTTTCTGTTGGTTACCACCCTCTTGTTCATCATTTGCGGGAGGTTGCGGATTAGGACTTGTACCATCTTGGCCAGGCGAACCCCCTCCAGTGCCATCATTATCAGTTTCACCACCTTCTTCATCATCTGTATCTTCTTCTTCTTCTTCCTGAGGGGGTACTGGGTGAGTCTCTCCGGTACCATTTTCTGGCTCTCCTTCCTCCTGCCCTGGCAGACCATCCCCAACCCCTGGAGTTGGTTCCGTGTCTCGTTTTACTGGGACCGCAATGTTCTCATTTTCTTTGACCTCAGCAGCAGAAGCCGCCATGGCATACCCGCAGGCGAGGCACAGCAGAACGGCCAACACACACATCACACGGTTCATCTTCATCATCGTGAGAGAAAAAAATAGTTTGGTTTGCGTAAAAACACTGATCTAGAAAGAAAGAGAATCAAAAAGCAAAAAAGAAAATAAATGAAGTGTCAAACATGTTAGGACACACAAATCGTTTACCGCAAAAGAAACTCACATCGCAAGAGAAATACACGCCTGTTAAGTTGTGAAATAAAGCGCAATAACCTCAGTAAGAGTAAAAACAAAAAAAAAGCCCACACTCACAAATATCATAAAAAAGGGCTCAGCGACCCAGCAAAACCAAGAAGCAAACAAACAAACAGATATTAAACAATTGAGCTCAACTTACCCAGTAAACACAAAGAAATACACCAACTATGGGTGTAAGTCTATATATATGTGTATATATATGCAATTATAAATATAAATTCATCTGCTATTATTATTTCCTTTTCCTCTCACTGGAAAAAGCAGTTCATCATTATCATTACAGTGCAAGCCCAGGTACACACAGAGAGTCTCCAAGAACACACAATGGAGTAGCAATAATAATTATAGGATAAACACAGAGAGCAAAAACACACACACAAAACACATTAACAATATGAAGCACAAAAAGAAGATAATTCTCAACAGGTGGAAGATTAGTTAGACTGTAGTGTGGATGTATGCAAAAAAAAAAGAAAACAAAGGATGACCTGAGTCACACCACACCACCATTACAATCAGCACAGAAGAATACAGGCCAGTGTAACCACAATCAGTAGGGGTACACGCACCCACAGAGAACTGCAGATACTGCTGCTGCTGTCTGCATCACCCTTTAAATTTGGTTCAGCATTAGCTGCAGTGCAGGATATCACAGGACTCCTTCAAGTTGAAGTGTATTCCTCTTCATCCTCCTCGTATTGCTCACCCTCATTGTCGTAATCACCATCAAGCATCTCAAAATCCTCAAGATCATCATCTTCCTCATCGCTCCCGTTCCCAACATCCCCAAGACGTTTCGCAGCCACGGGAATAGCATAACTAAACAAGAGAAGGAACACCAACAGTAGAAGTTTTAATAAGGGTATCAGTAGCTTTAGAGACTATCAGTCCTTACCAACCGGCAAACACAACACAATGTAAGAGTTAGTAAACAGAGCAGATTAACACATCACCATAACAGCCTTTCACATTCTTGTTCTTATTGCTTAACTATACAAGAGTACAAAGAAGGAAGAAAGGAAACAATTAAAAATAAACATACTCTAGAATATAGGAACGCGCAAAAAACCATACATAAAAGAAGTCCACAGAAACCAAAATAAAAAATAAAAATAAAAAAAAACCACATATTTTTGTGGTCATAAAAAATACAAACAGTTACACCAGTTTTTTTTTCTTTTTAAAGAAACTAGTGGTAAATGTGATGAATATTAGCAAAAAGTATTTTATCTTGGTTTTAATAGTTGAGGAAGTTTTGTTTTTTCTACTATTTCCCATGAACAGCCATATACAGGATGAGGAGGTCGAACTGGTAACATTGGTTTAAAACTAATGTGTTGCAGAAGACCTGAAAGTCCAAGACATGAATGCACAGCATCTACTTTGATACCAATACATTTACTTACACCACCCTTCTTGTGATCAGTACAAGAATTAATAAATCTCATGATAGGAAGTGGATCAATGAGTAGTTTATCGTTTTCACTATTACCATCACATTCATTTTCATTATCGCAGAGTATCTGTAGTGTGGATCCCACCCAGTGTGTGTAGCATGTGTCAGAATCTTTCTGAGGTCTCCCTTGATAACCAATAATTGTTTTTCTTCTTTTTCTTTCCTTTTTATTCTTCTTCTCTTGAACATCAACTGACCTATAATTATTATTATCATCATCGTCACTATAATTATTACTATTAGTATCATTATGATCATTAGGACCACGGGAAACACGAGCAGTACAATACCGCAGTAGTAAGTGACGATGACTGCGTGTGAGTGATGAGATGGCATTGCAGAGTACAAGTGAGGCAACAGCACAGAAAGTCATCCCTCCATGTGATTCAGCACCGGGAACGGCACCAAATCCCCCTTCGTGTGGATTCCAACAGCGCCATACAAATGCCACAGCATTATCAAGAACATGTAAAAATGATGGAATTGCAGATAATGGTAATGGGGCACATAATAAGGTTAATGACATAAGAGCAGAATAAGTGAAACGAATATCTACTTCAGAAATAATAGGAGAAGACTGAAAAGCACCTATAAAGGATGATCCATATAGAGAGTTATTACTATTTATTTGACATGATAAAATAAATGAAATGACTTTTTCTCTTTCTATCCATTCCAAGGTGGCTTTAGGAAGCATACAACATGTATTTAAAATGTGTAGAGCACAGTGAGTCATTGCTACTGTGGGACCTGTCACATAGAGAGGCAAAGGTTCTGATTGAAATCCTCCAATTTGAACATCATAGCAAAGATGTAATTCATTATATAATTCATTCTTATATCTATTAGAATCACTACTGCTAGTAATCCATTCCGCTCCCATCATATCACTTCCAACAAGGGCAAAATAGAGAAGTAACAATCTTTGTGTATGTGACTCCTGAATATTGTTTAATGCAATATGCATAATGGTTTCAAAGTACCGAAGATGGGCCTGCCGGTCACGCAGGAGGTGTAATATTTCTTCTTCTTCTTTATCATCATTATCATCTTCATTAGAATTCATAGTACTATCTATTTGCAGAAAAACACTATCAACAGTTTCCGTCTGATCAGCATAAACAAGAGAAGAATAAAAGAAAAAAAAAATAACAAACAGTGGATGAAATGATATGTTTCAATAAATGGAATTTAAATCAATATTTACCAAAAAAAAAAAAAAAGAAGTTACTATTCCATTCTTTTTTTTTTTTTAAGACACTGTAAAATGTATTAAAATTACCTCTTTTTTTTTCTTTTCTTTTTCCTGTTTTTTTTTTTTTTCTTACTAAATCATATTAAACGACTGTTCCTCTGTGCTTGATTGATTTCATTCATTCCCTCCTTCTTGAAAGATTCTCTTCTCTTCTTACTTTCCTTCCTTCTTTGATAAAAGATCATAATCTCTTTCCATCCATCACAATCATGATCTTTTTTCTTTTTTTCTTTTCTTTCTTTTTCTTCTTCTTTCTCCTGGCGAGTGTCTTTCCCACCTTTTTTCACTTCACTCCACTTCAGAGTGTTGGGATGCCTGCTCGCTTCTTGAGGTATGAGGAGAGCACAGAACTCATGGGTGGGGCGGTGTAGGCGGAGTCTGCGAGTACTCCCGCCAGCCACTTCTTTGCGGCCGCCGCCCGTACGGCATTACTGAGAGAAGACGCCTCATCCTCTTCATCATCTTCTTCATCATTATTATTATGATAATCATCATCTTTCTCTGCAGCATTGTTATTATTATTAGTGTTGTTGTTGTTGATCTTGAGTTTGTTTCCTCGTTTACCAATGCGGGAAACATCATGGAAAAAGTGTTGAAGTGACTTTTCACCGTCTTCCTGACTTACCACATCTTTACTCACTCCATTAAAATCCACAACCTCTACCTTTGCCGTATTCTCTTCTTCTTCTTGTTGTTGTTTGCTTGCTGTTAATGAGATGTGAAGTACACGAAACCCTGAGGCCTCATCCACCACAGCCACTCGCTCTTTATCCGCACCCGGCAAAGACTTCATTAGTGTAATACGATGTGGAGTAACACTGGAGGCGTGTCCCAATTCTTTTCCCATCTTTTCAGAAGATCCACATAACTCAGAGAGAGACCCATCATCTGTTGCTATTAATACAGATGTAGTTCCATATGAACAGAGAGCAGAAATAGTATGCTTCGTCGTTTCCCAAACTACCGCAGATTGATGAGGTGTGTTTAATGACCAAAAGTAAACATGTGTCTCATCACGAGCCACTACTGTACGGCATTCATTTAATAATTGAAGATCTCGAAGTGGTGATAAACATGTAGATTGTGTGAGAGTAAGTACACGATGCCATGTCTCTCCAGGACGAAGATTTGCAATACTGTAGATATGAACATTATCATCTGATATAAAACAGAGTGAAGCATCATGAGAAAGAATTAAATCATTAACAAGACGTGAAGGTGTAGCAGATGAGGATTTATTAATCCATCCCTTCTGTTCAGTAGCCGTAGCATAGGCATCATTTACATCTTCCGTAGCTTCTCCCCAACATTTCATAGAATTTGAACTGAGTGTAAAAACACGTCCATTTATATTATCGGTTTGTAATGCCAATATACGACTGCAATGAGGAGAATAAATAGTTTGTGATTCCACATGTCGTTTTACACTGGCATCATATACCCAAAAACGAAGTAATGGTGGAAGTGTTGTACCTCTAAACTCTTCATAGGTTACAATAGTACGATTATCCTTAAGAAGTCCCACATGTTGAATACCATGTCGAGGTGGAACTGGAATTGTTTCCATTTGTGAAGAAATGTGAAGTGAATATAATGCCTGTTGAGAGAAGGGATCACACACACGAACAACATTTGGTAAACCAGTTAATATAACGGCAGCTTGTCCCATCCAATTTCCTACAACCAATCCACTGCAAGCTTCACCTGTAGACCATTGAACACCATCAATAGATTTTTCTACTCGCATCTGTAAAAGATCAAGAGTGGCAAGTGTTGACTCTGCACATGCCATTAATAATTGTGATCCATTAGAGCAAGAAGGCACAATACAACGAACAAGTCCTAAACTGCATCCTATCTTTCTGAAAGTGTAGGAAGATAAATTCCAAACTAGCATAATAGATTCTCGAGCAGCAGAATAAAGAGAATTACCATCCACAGAGAAACTTAATGCTGTTAATGGTGTATGATGCCAATGATCTGAGAAATGATGATCATCTGTAACGGAAGGATAAACTATCAATTCCCCACGTATTCCACCAATAGCCACACTGTTTGTAACTGGATTACATGCCATACTTTGCATTTGAATAGGCAAAAGGAGTTGTCTACAGTTTTGTTTTTCTCTCTCACCATATAAAGAGTACTGGGCCCACTTTTCCCCACGTTGTCCGACAAGTACAAGACCTGTTAATTTTCCTGTTACCATCGTACAATCACGTAAAGGACTGCGAAAAGTCATAATAGATTCTGCAGAGATAACAGCCGTATCACGTAAAGAGGCTTCATACACACCAGCAATGGTGAGAAGCACACAATGTAATTCCCCATTCGCCTCGTGAAAGTGTGCCTCAAGAACACCATGTTCATTTATTAATTGTTTATGAACTGTTAAAGCTCGACGAGCAGAGACAATTGGTTTATGACCCGATGTTACTGTAGACTCATTCACCATTTTTATAGAAGAAGAAGATAATAATTCCACATGACTGAGAGAAATAAGAAACCAATTTGCCTCTGCATCAATCACATGAAGGTGCATTTCACCCTTTCCTGATTTTACAATATATAAACCGGCAATACGTCTACCACTTAATCTTTCCACACGAAATTTCTTGAGGTTCTTTGGGGCATAAAACGCAACACATGTGTCCTCTGCAACACACACTGCATCTTTGCAAATGGCAAAAAGGTGCGACATCGCCGTTGGATTAGGGAATAAAGATTATTATTTTTCTTTTTTTTTCTCTTCTTTCTTCCTATGGTGGATCTCTGTTGATATTGTTGTTGTTAGGCTTGGCGTCTTGAATTAATCTCTCCTTTCCCTTTTTTTCTTTTTCTTTTTCTGTTCTTGCCGTTATTCTATGACTCGACAGACCCCCCTCCGCCACTCACACTAATTTCTCTCTCTCTCTCTCTCTCTGTCTGTGTGTCTTCTTCTCTCTCTCTCTCCTTTTTTTTTTCAGGAGAAAAGATAAGTTTGCCATTCAAGTTAAAATTAAAAAAAAAAAAAACAAAAGAAGAAAAACAAGAAGAAAGAGAGCAAAAAAGAAAAAAAGGATACGAAGAACAGATTAAATAAAGAAAATAAGATAAAATGAAAGCAGAGAAATATTTCACGTACTGGAACATTGTTTTTTTTTTTTTGTTCTTCGTTTATTGTTTTTTTTTTTGTTTTATTATTTCTATTATTGTTGTTCGTTCCTCATTTATTCTTTTGCTCTCTCAATATTCACACCCATTCTTCCTTGTGGAAAACTCTTGGGAGGAGAGACGGCATACTTTTTAGACATAATACTACACTATTGGTTTACACCACAGACACTAACCTGCAGCACAAACAAAAAAAAAGGTAAAATAAATGAGAGAGATAAATTTCCCCCTCTCCATCTCTCTCTCTCTCTCTCTCTCTCTCTCTCTACCCCTCTTTCCATCCCATCTTTTTTCAAGTGAAGAAAGAAAAGAAAAGAAAAGAAAAGAAAAACTACTACAGCTGTGCTGTCCCATAATCCCATGATCTGCGTGAAAGTGGCTGCGTCTCTTCTGAACTCATTCCAGGTGTTACCGCACGACTCCATCGTCTGTATAAAATAAAAGTCACAATAAGGAGTAAAATGGCGGCACATGTAAAAAGAATTGCTTCATTTCTTGTAAATGCACGGGGCCATTTATTAACTTTGTCCTGAGAATCATCCATGCTGCTATCATCACTGTCTTCTGAATCTTTTTTTCCTCCTTTTGTTGTTTTTGTTGTTGGTGTTGTTGTTGTTGTTGTATTGGGAATAGGGACTGATGACTTGGATATATTGCTTGGAATCTCATCATCTCCTCCCCAAACATCTTTCTGAAGTGGATCTACATTATAATAATCCTTCATATCTTTCTTTGACGATTTTTTCCTCTCATACTCTAAATCCACGTAGCGGTAAATAGTACGTCCATTTAAAGGTTGTACGGGTCTTCTATTCCCCATGTGTTCTCCTGGACGGGCACGATTGAAGGCTTGAATAAGTCGCTCTAATGCAAGTTTAGAGATAATCTGAGGAACTGTCATCACAACAAAACGAACATTTTCTTCACATGGTGGAGTTGTAAGTGATCCATTGTAGACAAGATAATTTCTTCGCCTTGGAAGAAATCCATCAATGGCAATATCTTCCGTTAATGTACATGTTGTGAGAGCATGTTTAGGTGGAAGTGAACCTTCTACCAATATATGTCGAAGAGCACGTACAGAGGTTGTATTCACTTTATTAGATGCAACAAGTTGAACCGCAATTACCAATCGAGCCAATTTCCCTGTTGAGGAAGTATGCGCAAATACAAGATGTAATTCGGCATCTGGTTTACCACGTGGAAATTCATGTTCAACTGGTGAGTGAAAGTGTAAAGCCATAAATCGATACAGTGGTGATTTTTTATCAGTGGGATCTCGCGTTGTACATGGATTAGGCGACTCCCCACTTGGATCATCCAGATCCACAAAGTGAGCCGAAATGGTATTCACTTCATTCACTATCTTTAAGGATGTCTGCTCTGCGGCGAATGTACATCCCTGTGAGAACTGCAGTGGCTCCAAGTCTCTTCGCCAGACGGTGTGTTGTTGAGCCGCACGAGTGGCAAAGGAGATGGGACTCTGCCGCACACCTTCTCTGCAGAGCGGCGGCCAGGCACTAATGTTGGCGTAACTCCACTCGGGGTCTCGCACATCACTGCGGGGAACACCGGCGGTGGTGTAACTGTTCGTGGCCACAACAGGCAAGAGTATGGAAGGATGTACCGCAGGGTTGTAAACCAACTGCAGAGATATCAATGATAGGAACAATATCAGGGATGTGAATGCGTGATAAGAAGAGAGAGACATATATATATATATAACAGGGAGAAACGAAATAAATAGATTGATATAGATATAGAGTGGGGTTTTACTCTCTCTCTCTCTCTCTCTCTGTGAGTGTATATATGTGCGTGTGTGCAAGGTGCGTGTGTTTATATATGTGTGTGGTTTCCTGATGTACAGCCTTAATTAATGTGAGAACAAATAGAGAGAGAAAGAAAGATGATAGAATGATAGCATAGTGAAGGGGTTAATAAGCAGAGTGTACTCTATAATAAGGATTAAAGGAAGAAAAGAAAACAAAGAAATGCAGACGACATGTATTCCCTTCGTACATACACACAGAGTGAAAGAAACAAATAGAGAGAAAGAAAGAGATAAAGGGAGAACGAATAATATATATATAAAAAAGAAATAAACAAGATATCTGGTTCAAAAATTTCGCTTTGTTCACCCTTTACATGCATAAGATACTTTTTTTTATAATAATAATAATAATAATAATAATTATTATTATTATTATTAATTATTACTCTTATCATAAATAGTGGTTACATTTCCACCCTCACTTCACACACACATCATCATCATCATAATCATCGTCAGAAACTACTCTATAGATCCTTTTTTTCTTTTTCTTTTTTCTATTTTTTAGGACATGTACTTCACCCCATCCCACCCCGCTTTTGTTTCTCCTCGTACTTATTTTTTTTCTCTTCTCTTCTTCTCATCTTAATTCTCCGTTACTTTCCATTTTTTTTTTATTTTTTGTTTTGTATATAATATAATATATATATATATATATATATATTCCCCCTTTCCGCTAAGGTGCACTATCTGCGGTGCCGTATGATTTCTGAGCCGCCGCCCGCCGAGACTCCAAAAAACGTTGCCGCGATGCATTTCCCCCTTTGGAGTTCTGACTGTTATTATTATTATTATTATTATTTCCCGCATTTCCATCATTCTTCTGGAACTTCACAGCCACTGGGGGATCGACATTGTACAGTTCCTCATATTCGCCGTGTGTGGGGCTTCGTGCTAAGAGAAAACGGTAAACGAGAAACGCCATCGCTACTGTGATGAATAAAAGAGCCATCAGCCACGCAGTGAATGGCAGCCACGTGCTGTTGTGGAAGAAGTTGTGCGATGATGATGATGATGATAATAAGGATGGGGATGATGTGAACAACACTGTAGTGTTCGTTTCACCGCTTTTGTTTATCTGCAGGAATGGACAGGTTTTATGAGAATGAGAATGGGAATGGGGTTTCATTCCTTTACAGTGTTTATTATGCGCAGAAGAAGAAGAAGAAGAACAATTTGCAGACATTGTATGATTCATCATCGTACTATTATGTGTGCAATTCATCATATTGGTAGTAGTAGTAGTACTAGTGTTAAATAGATCGGTACTGTTGGTATCATTATTTTGAATAGAGAGAACAGCGGAGATGGAGATGGAAATGGTGTGTTCCACCGCCTGTGCGAGTGTTGATGAGACGCTGTCGGAGGATGTTGAGAGTGGTGTGAGTGCTACCATGAGGAATACGTAAACAACACAGCCTTCTGATATTAACATATATATATATAAAGAGAGAGAAAGAAAAGAAAAGAAAAGAAAAGAAAGAAGATAAGTGATTATCAATATATATATATATATATATTTATATATATGTAGAGGTTAAAGAGGGAATCACATATATATATATATATAGAGAGAGAGAGAGAGAAAGTGAGAGAACCAGTTCAGTTGTGCGGAATCTACACAAGAAAAGAATTAGAAAAAAAAAAAAAACGGTGAATGATCATCGGTCTTGCTAAGAGACTTCCATAATCCACAGGAAAGAACAGAAATCAGAATATAAATACCCACAGAAGAGAAAAAAAAAAAAATTCTTTGCTTTTTTCTTTTCTTTTGGTTCCTTTTTTTTTTTTTTTTTATTATTCTTCCTCTTCATCTTTGGATATAATGTATTCTTATGCGTCTCCTGTAGGAATTTATGTGTAATCAACGAAACGTAAACGAAACGAAAATGAAGAAAAAAAAAAACAAAAAACAGGAAACCAACAGGAAAGAAAGGGAAATGTATAGTAGGGGAAAAAAGGCAAAAAAACAAACAAACAAAAAAGGCCTTCAAAATGACTTTACCGCAGTCATACATCTTTTTATTATCAACCTTTCTTACATCATGTTGCCCATTACTATCTTTATGCATATATATATATATATATA